ACCCTGGGATGAAATTGTCCAAAGGCCGTCCCATGCGGGTGGGGGGGTATCAAAAGAGCCTTGTTGTGAGGCTGTTATGCTTGGCAGATCTCTTTTTTTAAATGGATTTGACCACACCTGGGACATCTTTCTGTGTGATGTCTCCGGGACACCCAAGTGCACCTGTGGTGTATGAACTTGACAAAAGTCATGCTGCAGCACGCATATCTGGCAGTGGAGTGTTGGCCAGGCAGACTTGCACCTAAGAGCAACTCCACCGCAGGCCATAAATCAGGGCTGTAGGTGTAAATTACAGACTTGACATGACCCACCGGGTCTGTAGTCACTAAAATCTATGGCAGTCTGCAAAATCTCCTTGCAAGTCCTCACATTTAGGGACTCCTAGGTAGGTTTGACGGTGCCACATTTGAAAATGTGTGTGCCAGTGGGCGCCTACAAACCTACCACCAAGTGCGCACCTTTGGCAGGCGCAGTAGCGGCGAGCCTAGGCAAGTTTTTTTTAATGACAAGAGTTGTATTATTATGTTTTATTTTGATTGTTGCCAGACTATTTACAGTGAATGAAGATTGAAGAGGGAAATACAACCGAGTGAAACAACTGAGAAGTCACAGATCTTGTGGGTCCCAGTTGGTTTCCTCGGGGTCATTTTCAACATTGACAATTTTGATTTTGAAGAATTTTAGATTTATTCCTTAGAAACAAAGCCCAGAGCTAAGACGGCAAATAAAAGTTAGAATGAGAAATGAAGAAGAAGAGATTCAGAAGAAAAGCATACCATTGATGTAGATGACAAGAAGTAAGTGAGGACTTTAGTAGTAGATGAGGAGATAGAATCCGAAGATTGGAGACTGAAGGCAACAAGGAAGGAGAAAGAGAGTTGAAAGGAAAAAAATTAGTTCTTTTGAAAACAACCACAAAGAAGAAGAGACAAGAAAGAAAGAATGAGAAGAACAAAGAAAGAAAAAAACAAACAGCAATTGAATATGTTCGAGTTTGACACACACAAGGTAAGCTAGGAAAGACAGAAGAATACTGGTTCTATTCAGAAAGAAGATGACAGACAAGAACAAGAAAAGAGATGTCAGGATGAGGTTGAGTTGGTTGAGGATTATTGAGTTCTTGTTACATTACGAGCAGCGCTTCCAATAGTCTTGAACGTTTGATGATTATTGTTTGTCAGGTAAGTCTTGAGGAAGTTGATCCGTAACAGTTTCTTGGTCAGATGAGAAAAGAAGAGTTTGGGTTTTTGGGAGTTTTCTTTTCAGGAGAGAAGATTCCAACCCTAACTGGTTGATCTGCGTACTCCTCAGTCTCTCCGGGAGCGCAGAGCATGTCCAAAACTCGACAGATTTTGTTGCTCATATTGATGGATTTCTGAGCATCCAACTCCGGCATAAGTTATGTTTGACACTAATAATCCAGTCCATTGTGGACCATGAGATTTTGTTGGCTTAGACCATCCTTGCAGCTCTGAATTGCTTGTATTTCTGGTGGGTGGCATGGCAAAAATATAGAAAGGTGCTGGTATTATTATTATATAAGAAGTTGGAGGTTTAAGAGAACTAATGGGAGTTGGACTTTGAATTGGCAGTACTAATCTCAATACAACCCCAAAGCCTCAATAATTCTTTCCGCGCTCATATGTGTCAAAAAAGCTACAGACTCAGAACTCAACTGTCAGCCTGTCAGAGAGAGTAGCAAAGCAATGGCATACTCCCAGACTAGCTTAAGGAGCTTTCAGGGTTGCCCTTTCAAACTGGGAAAGTCACTAGGCTTCCAGCCCCCCCCCCTCTAAAAATTAGGGTTAGAAGTGCGCGCACACCCCCCTTTTTTGGAAAAATGTGCACGCCTTGGGTGAGGGTGCAAGGCGCCTGCACATTGGCACCACCTAGGGGTGGCGCGGTCAACCCTACTCCTAGGGACTCACCTACGGCCTACAAATGACAATTTCACACAACAACAACATGTGAAACCCAACCCTCACACACCACACCACCCTTGGCAGCACACCTGTCATCAATTTTCACAAACCACCCCTCCAAGTCGCGGTGTATGCCGCAGCAGTTTGAGACTGTAAAACTGGCTGTGTGGACCCAATCATCAAGATTTTACAGCCCAGAAGTAGGGGCCACAGTGGAATTGTTCTAATGTTGACAAACTTGCATGGCGAGTTTCTAGTCTTTTGGTGGAAGCAAGATTCATAATGGAATCACATCATTCCTTCAAAACTTTGAGGGTGTTTGGTACAGGATTATTTCAGAGCTAAATCATCCTATTGATGGTACAGGATTCTTGCAGAGCTAAATCATCCTATTGATCAAGGATTCAAGCAAAAACTCAGAAGTTGTACATCTTGTTTAAAATCTAAGCTATAAGAATGAGAGAAGATTTTGAACAGACTCTGGTGCCACTTTTTGAAGGGCTAAAAAAGCTGTCAAACTTAGATTATGAGGAGAACCAATGGTTTTTAATCTCTTGTACTAGGGCTAGATTAAATAGACTAGATTAGATACAAGAGTTCAAGCTGTGGTTGTTGAGAAAATGAATACACCACCAAAGCAAAAAAAATATTCTGGAAACCGCTTGAGTCGGTTTTGAAAATTTTGTTTTTTTACTACTTTGGACGGCGAGACGATTGAGTCACACTAATATTTTTCGACTAGTTTGAAAAATATTGTGGGAACCACCTGAAGTGGTTTACAGAATGTTTTTTTGGAACAGAAAAGGTTCTCAAGCCCCCCCCCCCCCAACCAGATTACAACCAACAATGTTTGGGGGTTAGATCCCAAAACCATTTTGCAACCAGAAATATTCTTGAACCCCACTTCTTACCGAGAAATATTTGGAAAGGATACCAAGAAACAAATAGTGCACCTATGGTGTAGAAACAAATGGAATAATCAAGAGAGAACAAGACGGTTCGTCATCAAACACCAGAAATGGAGTCTCTTCAACCAAGAAGATAAGCAAACATAAATGAGAAAAAATAGGCCCTCCTTGATCAGGGTTTCAAGACTACAAGTCAGGGGGTCAGATTTAATATCAAGATGATGAGACAGACTATAGTGGAGAAGATTTCATAGAAGTGAAAGTGTAGATCCTGATGATCAATAAGATTAGAATTGATGCAGAAGTAAGGAAGTTTAGAAGCGAGGAAAGGAATAGAGACAAAATTCCAACACATCTCTGCAACCATAATTTATAATGATTTTATAAAATCAAGGTTTAAACTTGTTTTAGCTCAAACACAGGGTTTTCTCTAACTTAACTAAGTCCATCTAATTGGAGGGGGGAAGCTGTTACGCAGGGACCCTCCAAAGGAAGGACTTGTGTGCTATGTCAACCTTGTGGCCTGAGAGAATTATGAAATCCACCTTTTTCAATCCTTTCTAGAAGCGCCTTGATCTTCCAATGCACATTTTGCACTGTACAGTATCTGAGATTGAACATGTTACAATCATCATTATTAATCAAGATTTTATTACATTTAGAAAAATTTGTAAATAGATGGGGACAGCTTGAAAGATCCCAAAAGTGAAAAATAGAGGAAAAAACAATCAGCCAAATTTTTGTGAGGTGGATTATGAAAAACTCTCAGCCCAAAAACCTAAGGCTCTCAGGCCGTGGGGTTGACTTTAGATGTGAGTCCCTCTCTCCGATTGGGGTGATGTGAAAAGTGGTTTACCACTCCAACAAAGGGTTCAGTGATCCAGCTGGCACCATTCAACAAGTGGTTTACCACTCCAACAAAGGGGCATAGACACTTAGTCAAGTTAGGGGCTTTCTCGACTTGGGAACACCAAGCCTTAGCCTACCTGAGTTGACAAGTCAACCTTTTTAAAAAATAGCTGTAAATGACTTGCAAACATACCAAAAAATTGAGCACAGGGAAATATGGAAAAGAAGCAGGCATCCCCTGTCCCAGAAGAGAATTACATAGATGTGAATGAGGGTGTGTCAAAAGGGAAACACACTAAAAAGTGAGTTTTCAGCCCCATTTTGAAAACTCACCATGCGGGTATTGTGAAATTGGACATAGGCCTCCACTGGCTCAGATAGCTCTTCTGCTTGCTACTGCTTCTGCCTGTGCAGGTCTAGTTCAGCTCTCTGTAAATACAATTATGGAATGTCAAGTTACAACACCTCAATACACTGACACAAAACAATAGTCCAGTGATATCATCCATTATCAAACCATATCATATCTTTAATCTTGTTGAGTGGCTATTTCAAAATTGGATCAGGAATGATGGAGGCTCATGGGACTGCAATCTTGACATAATTTCAAGAAACTCCAAGTCCCGGTGCTACTCAACAGGTTTTTTTGAACCTCAATTTTAATCTTCAAATTTAGATGATCATATTTAAAGAGAGTAAATTGTGAGAGGGTGACTGGTAGGTACAAAGACTCATCACTGTCCATGATTTGACAGACAAAAAATAAAACAGTAAGGGGAAAAAAATTGGGTAGCACTACAGCTAAAAATTTGACAAGATGGCCTATTTTCATTATTGAGATCGTCGGAAAAGCTTTGGGGGTTTTGTTGGCGTTGGTGATGGCGTTGGCGACGGCGACGGCGACGGCGACGGGTTTGGTTTCGTCGGAGTTGGTGGTTTAGCTGGTACTGGAAGATCAGTAAACTGGGAAAGGATGCATCCATTGCAAACTGGTAATTTTCGTTTCGGGAAAGGTTGGTCAGTCAACAAACCCAATCAATGTTTCTTTCAGGGGAAGATGGACTTACTAGGCCGGACGTTATTCGTCTCGTCGTGTTTAGTCCAAGTACACTGATAGGTGTGATGTACTCTTTTATTCGGATCTTCATAACCAATTGCAGCTGGTAAAAAAACAAGGGTTTTTTTTTTGAGAAAATCATTTTCAATCAGTCCAAAGGAAAAATTAAAAGAAAAAAAACAAAAATCACAGCTACTTACTTAAAGTTCCCTTGAGATTTTGGGCCCAGAATTGAACGGGATGGACTTCGGGTATACCCTCTTTGGCGGGAGTATCTTTATCAACATACCGAGTACAGTTTTTGAATATGAATTTTTCCACTGATGATGAAAATAAAAAACCGCGAGAGAAGTAGAGAGATGATGAGTTATTAAGAAAAGCATCTGTTGTATCATCAAACTTTCGACTCACTCGGAAAAACATCTGGGATTTCCTGCTCATTTCCACCATGACATTTTGCTTGTGGGCAGAGGTAAGCTTTAGCTCCATACGCCATGCAAGCTGTAGATTCAAAGTGATCAGATTTCAAAAAAAAAAACTCAAACAGAGAATCTGATGAGGCTGCTCTGGTGACTTACAGACGTAGTCTTTGGGTACTTTGGCCTCCGGGCTTGCTGCTCCATAGGTGACGCCACAGGCCACAGGCTGGTCTGCCAGTTTACCAGGAGGTGGTGTTTGTTCGGTATCTTTTGGAGCCGGTGCTGGCTGCCCATTATTCTCCTTTGGTGCCGGTTTACCATTAGGATCGGGCCCTGTTTGGGCTTTCTTCGGCGGTGTCGCAGGTTTTGGAGACGGAGCTGGGGCTGGCTTGGGGTTTGTTGGTGGTGGCTGGGTGGTTGTTGAGGGTGTGAGTCCTGGCACCGGTCCCCCGACTGCCTGTTGCAACTGGCTTCCGGAAGGTAAAGATGGGTTGGCTTGGGTCCCATAGGCATATCCACCCGTAGCATTGGTTAGAGATGGATTCGCATATCCACCGCCGACGCTGCCGGGTATTGGTGAAGTCTGAGTTCCAGTGCCACCGAGTGACCCGCCTGCTCCAGTGGCACTGGTAGTAGTACCGGGTACAGGTGGATTTACGTATCCACTGGCATCAGTTGGAACTGAGTTCGTATATCCACCACCGACGCTGCCGGGTATTGGTGAAGTCTGAGTGCCAGTGCCACCAAGTGACCCGCCTGCTCCAGTGGCACTGGTAGTAGTGCCGGGTACAGATGGGTTTACGTATCCACCGGCATTAGTTGGAACTGAGTTTGTATTTCCGCCACCGATGTTGCCGGGTGTAGGAGACGTTTGAGCTCCAGTCCCCCCAGCTAGTGAGCCTCCCGTTCCAGTGGTAGTAGTGCCGGGAACATATGGATTGAGGTATCCCCCTGTATCAGTTGGAAGTGGATTCGCATCACCGACGTTTGCAGGTGCAGGCGAAGGCGTTCCGGTGCCTCCGAGTGAGCTCTCCTGTCCAGTGGCAGTACTTGCGGGCACGAGTGGTTTGGGGTATCCGCTGGTATCAGTTGTTAGTGGATTCGTGGATCCAACACCGAGAGTGCCGGGTGCAGTTGGATTCTGAGCTCCAGCGCCACCGAGTGAACCCCCCGTTCCAGTGGTGCTACCTCCGGCCCCTGATGGATCTACGTAGCCGGAGGTGCCAGTTGTTAGTGGATTCGTGGATACACCGCCGAGGGTGCCAGGTGCAGCTGAATTCTGAGCTCCAGCGCCACCGAGTGAACCGCCCGCTCCAGTGTTGGTAGTGCCGGGCACAGTTGGATTGGCGTATCCACTATTATCAGTAGCGAGTGGATTTGCAGATCCACCGCCGACGCTGCCGGGTGTCAGTGAAGTCTGAGTTCCAGGGACCGATGGATTGGCGGATCCACTAGCATCAGTTGTTAGTGGGTTTGTAGATCCACCGCCGACGCTGCCGGGTGTAGGTGAAGTCGGAGCCCCAGTGCCACCAAGTGAACCGTCCCCTCCGGTGTCCGTACTGTCTGACAGAAGCGGATTGGCGTATCCACTCGTGTCAGTTGGGACTGCATTCGCATATGCACCACCGATGCTTCCGGGTACAGGTGATGTCTGAGCCCCCCCAGTGCCACCGAGTGAGCCGCTTGATCCAGTTGCAGTACTACCGGGCGCAGATGGATTGACGTATCCGCTAGAACCAGTTGAAAGTTGATTCGTAGATCCGCCCCCGGTGCCACCGGGTGTTGGTGAAGTCTGAGCCCCAGTTCCACCTAGTGAACCGTCCCCTCCGGTGTCCGTACTACCTGACAGAGCTGGATTGGCGTACCCGCCAGTATTACTAGTAGATGGAAATAAGCTTGAGAATGTGTCAGTATTGGTACTGCCAGGTGCCGGAGTCCCATTTGCGCCGCCAGCGCTAGTTGCACTATATGTGCTTGTGCTTCCTGGGTTGGTAGGTGCCGGTGTTCCATAGCCAGTTGTGCCGGAGGTTGTCGGTAGGTTACTTCCGGTCAGTGGCGGACTGCCATTGGAAAGAGGGGGTGGCTGAGTGGCCTGCCTGCGCACAAACCTGTTTAGCCTGGCTTCAGAAAGTAGGATCGCGGGCGAGTAGATCAGGGCGAGCAGTATTGAGACGAGACATATCTTCCAGAGAGGTTTTGCGAGTGACATGAGTAGTGAGAGGTGATTTTAATGATAGTCAGTTGGGAAGTCTTTAAGGTTGTATAATACGGTCAGCTACGGTTCATGCACAAGATATATACAGTCAAAAAGAATTGACGTGGTAGCCTGGGCCGGTATTATAAAGGAAGTTATGAGCCCCGTAGAGACGTAGGACGGGAGGTATTTGGGTGGAGTTTCTAGACAATCCGCAATGCCCAACTTTTATGAATTGTGATCACAGCTTAATCTGCGATGAACGGCTCATTCTTGCTCGGTAGCCTCGGAAGTTGGTCAATGGCAATGAGTGGAATCCAAATGCTCAAAACGCTCTCCAAGCCAGCAACCATCTAGGGGGGGTCACCAAGAAACGCAATAGTTTCTCGTGTTGGAGCTTCAGATTAGAATGCGATGTGCCATACATCCTTGAGTCTTGGCGGTGCCAGACAATAGCTCAAAGGGATTGGAGTCTGGAGAGTGCCTTTGGCGGGTTCGTGTCTGTACATACGTTGTCCGTCCACTGAGGCTGATCGTCATGTTGACGCCACTGATAACACGGAGCATCAGGATAGTGGCGCTCGTCGGTTGGTTTGAGTTTTTTGACTTCCAAACTTCTAATGGGTGTATCAAAAGTAAGACGACCTACATAGCTCGACAAAACCTCCCGTGACCCTTTCGCTCACCAGCGGGCAACGCTTGGCCTGCCCGCGCCAAGACCCAGGCGAGGGGATTGGATAAGCTAGTCTCAAGACGAACTCAATGTGTTGCGGGTCTGTTGTGCAGTGTGAGCTCAGTAGTGCTTCTCCAATGTCCTCATCTTGGAAAGGTATATAACCTCGACGACTTTCCTTCTGAGGGGTATAAAGCCCTCCTCGTGTTGTATTTCTGACCTGATTGATCCCGCATGTCTCCTCAGTTTCAAAATATTAATTTATCAATAAAGGGTGTTTGCTGAGCAACGGGGTACAAAGGGTAGTAATGGAATGGCCGTAAACCTGTTTTCCTCCTGCGTATGTGTTTCAACAAACTAAATATTCATACATAAATATGTGGCACCAGCTTCACGTCTACAATGCGCTTCTGGTGATAATTAAGCGACCTTTGATCACTGTGTGCCTAATTGGTGAATCAGGGTGTGCAGTTATTTCTTAAGCTTGAACCATCCCTGGGAAGGTTTTCGAATCTTGTTGGCATCAGTGTTCTCCGAATTGTTGGCCGCTTGAGAGGGTCCTGCACTTGATGATTGGCCTGGGTTGAGTCCACTGGCGAGAGGTTCACGATCGCCTGTTATTCCGTCGATATAAGCCGTTCTGGTACTGTTCTCTGCCAGCGCTGCCGTTTCGGATGGTGTCACTCCATTCGGCTGGGATGCGTCGACAGCGTGTTGGGCGCGTAGTGTGATAAAATCTTCAAATAAGGCCGCGTTTCGTGAGTTCACTTTCCATATCCTGAGGGGCACCAAGTCCAAAGAAGTCCAACCAAAACCAAATACCACTGATCAGGAATCCAGGATCTTATTGAGACAAGGTATTTATGTAAGACAGAGCCCACTTACGCCATGATGATGTCCCCAACAATCGGAACCAGTCCGATGGAGGTCGCCACAATCTGGTCTGGATTCATTCCATCGCCACCAATCAAGAGAACATCCAAATACGTCAGGGATGCACGTCAGAAGTATCAAGGGAGTCTGCTATTCAAAGTAAGAATTGAACTGACTCAAAAACATTCGCTGAACCAATAACGCAGGTAAGTTACACGTCCTAGCCGGTCTGATCACGAGATAGTAGGACAAGGCCGCGTCGGCTGCGTCTCCAACCACTGGGATAAAGCCTAATTTTCAAAGCGTTTTTTTTTGTTTACGATCAGACGAAATACATGTGAATATTACTGGGACGCCTTCCGATCATGAAAGATGAAGACTAGGGATAGATTTTGCTAACCAATTAGAAACGTCCATCCAAATCTAAATCCACAAATCGAGAATCCTTTATCCAAATAATGTGCCCGTTTCCTGATCTTCTTCTGATAGAATTAATCCGAGACGACACATGATAATGAGCCCGTTAGAAAGGATGGCTACCCAAACGAAGCACATGAGAGGAAGAAGAGACGGACCAGGATTTTTTCTTCATGTTTGCTTAAACCAGGCGGAAGCTGACGTTGGGTGCGTTTACGTTTACCAGTCTGGGGGTTAACGGAAGTCTCGTAGAGCGGATCACGAGGCTCGAATGCGGTGGCCTGGCCCTTGAAGAACGATCTGGCGACTTTGGCAGCGATTTTGTCGGTCATCGTTGAAAATAATTCAAGACGAGCCTTCAATCGGAAGATGTGGATGCGGGTAGGAATATGTAGGAGATTGGATGATTGACACAGCTTCGGATAAGGATGGTCCAACCCTCAAGCTCTTTAAATAAGCGTGCCGCGCAGTGCTATGTCCTCATCTATTTACATCTCTTCTACATATTTATTATTTACATATCTTCCCCCCTGGACAGCCCTGGGCTGGTCTTATGTACAAGAGTGTATCAAGAGATATCAAAGCATGTCAAAGCATGTGTGAGTGGGCTCGAACCAATCAAGCATAATTAATCCAGCAGCCGGATAAACGTCATCATGCTCGATATTGATCTTAACAACCCAGCGCCCATTTCAAAACAAAAGATTACCTGGGCTTCAGAACGCGCACGATGGGGCTTTATATATCTGTATGAAGTCATTTTCATTTTGCCTGGTTTCTCTCATCCTCCCCAAAAAAACTTACACTCACGGCTTGACTGTACTGGTGCATGAACCAGAGGCAAAGCCATATCAAAGCGACTGTCTGGTTGTCAAACATTATGTCAATGTTGCAAGATGAAGTATGCTAAAGTATATGATCTAGTCAGAAATGAATCAAGAAAGATCAAAAGACATGTAGGGGTAAAAATGTTACGAAGTTCTTCACGAGAGATACTCCCTTGTTGAAGATACAAGGATAGACGAGCTCAATTTTTGGTTTTGATCAGGCCGGAGAACATGTCAAAGCTATTCGAGTCAGGTTGTAAATCGACGATCACTTGGTGATTGACTGAAGTACCATCGGATTTCCTAACCAGCTGTGTTCTTAGAAGCCCATACGACGGGTCAATCCCTACTATCTTCAGCTCTTCACCTGTTTTCTCGTATCTGATTACTTGATCCCTGTTTTTACACAAAAAAGAGAGAATTAAAGTCATAAACATTTTTTTCAAAAAAGGGGAAGAGGAGATTAGATACTTACGAGTGAAGCCAACGGGATAAATAGAGTGACAAGAAAGGCTGGAATCCCTGCGCTTGGAAGCGCGTCCACATCTGCCCAAACGTACCCAAGATCCCTGCGAGGATCTCCTCAGTACTTGGGTGTCTTAAACGATCACAGCAGTCTGGACCATCATCATCGGCCATCGATTCACGAGCAGCTCGGATCAGTTCTGTCAGACTTGTTGTGCTCGATTGAGGTGCCGAGTAGTTATTCATTCCACATCCTATAGTCACATCAATCAGCATTAAGTTTTTTTCGGAAATTTCGGGATTGGACGCATATACAAGACATGTGTTTCTTGCTTTTTTTGAGGGGAGGGGGGCTAAATGGTAAGCCAAGCACTTACCAATCACTAGTTTACAATCAGTCCCACTGAGTCCCCCGAACGAGCAATTGACGAGGATCCCGCCCATCTTCTTAAATCCCTCTCTAGCATGACCACCGGTGATAGATCCATAGATATCGTTTGGCCATTTCAACCGAACTACCACCTTCCCATTGGACCATTTCTCGAGCCATTCAATGACGGCCAATCCGAAGAGATACTGGACAAAGACGACGCTCGATCCGAGGTTGGTGGCTTTGAGCAAGACAGAGAATTGGATCGAGCCCGCGGTCGAGATCCAATTGTTTGAACCTCGGCCTCGTCCATTGGTCTGCTTCTCAGCAATTGAGACCGTCCCGCTAGGGAGTAAGTCTGACAACTTGGTATTCCTGAAGTCAAGAGAATTAGAAAAAAAAGAGCAGAAAGGGACAAATTGGAGGTTTAGAGCAATACCAAAGCATGAAAAATTGCGCACTTTTCAAGTAATGTTTGAGTGCTTGCCACCGTTTCTGCGTATAAAATTGTGGTCCCGATCTGAGATGGCGACTCAATCAGTGAGAAATAACGGTCCCAATCGAAAGTAGATGGGGCGGGCTGAGGCAAGTTCTTATAATCCGGACACAAGAAAAGTGGCAGAGTATCATTGGTCGGCAAAGGTGGGGATGTAAGCTGAGTTTCAGAGACGACAGTGAAGGTGTCCAGTGCGTCTTCGAAAACGTGCTCTTGTTCACCAGTACAGCGCTCGAGGATGCTCCGATAAATTGCTTGAGTGGATGGCGAAGAGGGACAAGAGACGAGGTAGAGTGCGGATGGTTTTGTATTTGGGTTTTCGGAGATCGATAGACCTTCAAGGCCGATCAAACTAAGGATTTCCATCAACCGTTCCGGTGCCAAGCTCAGATCGAATCCGACCAGGGCCAGGTAGCCCATCTGGTAGGCCGTCCAAACCCCTGCGATATGGTCATGATGGTTATCATTACTTTGGTAGTGCGCCCATACGCTTAGCTGGTCATCTTTTACCCGGACATTTGTCTCGAATGTAGGTTTCCCAATCTCGATTAAGAGTTTTGGCGAACTAGTGGGCGTTTGTTCGGTTTGTCGGGGGAAAACCACTTCTGTATAGGATTGGGATGACTGTGAGCTTGGAAGTGTCGGTGACGGAACGGGACTCCAAGTAAGATCAAACAACCCGAGTTGATCAGTTTCCGCAAATCGAGCCCCAGTGCCGAGTCCCAGGTATCTTCCACCTCGGCCGACCCAACGACGAATTGTTCCCCGAGTATTCTCAACCACGCCGTCATGTTCGCTCGGATCGATGCTTGGGAAGACTATCAAGGAGGTGTGCTCTGGCCATGGTTGGTGGTTGAGCAGCTGGGCATTGGCTAGTTTGACATCATACGCTCCTGATAGAATCTTCCTCAACGTCGAATGGAGCTCTTGAGAGGCTCGAGGCGTAACCGCTGTCGTTCCTGAATAGACGAGGACGTTCATGAGATCGTTCAGCTTGACTTGCCTAAATATGTAGGATCGAGAGACGAAACAACGAAGGCGCTTCACGTACCTATTTACCTATGAGTGGTTCCCGCTGGGTGAGCTTGAAGATGCAACCCCACTGCACACCACAACTTCCTGACTTGCACTTTCCATCGATCCCTCCAAAGATTCTGAATTGTCATCGTTTTATCTGTGTATGCCCTCAACAGTCCTCTTTCATCTCTCAACAACTCCTCGTTGTTCACTCGCCCCGTCACCACCGCCGCAGGGGAAACTGGCTGGCAGCTCATGTCTATCAACACATTGGCCAAAGATCAAAAAGAAGGCACATTTTTTTCGTATATTTTTCGTATACATAAAACAATCACACTATGTTTCAAGAAAGCTTTTGATCATCTCAAATGGATTTCTACCAGATTTTTTTCCCAACATTATTCCAATTGTTCAAGTCTGTGAACAAAGTTGAAAACATTTTCAAAAACTATTACTTCATCTATAGGCTATAGCTGCAAGGCTGCTCAGCAAGGTCTCGAACTTCTGAAGAGTGCTGCTTCTTATTTGCCTTCACAGCTGGAGGACATCCCATGCAAATTGGAGCCCTTGCAGAAGTTGATTTAGACTTGCGGAACACCCTAGATTTTCCCAGAGAAACTTTGTTTTTGAGACTCTAAATTAGTTCTGGGTGATGGCCTGCAGAATCTGTCAGGAGGTCCTCCACTAAAAATTTCCATATTGAGATCATCCTCAGTGAAAGATGATGAGGAGCATCTCAAGAATCTGTGCAGCACTGAATAGATTGCCCATTTCAGTTGGTTCTGGTGTCAAATTCTCAACCAACAAGCAACTTTAAAACCCCTCAAATTACCTGGGGCACCAAATCTGACCAGTCTCTTGAAATAAATGCATCTTTCCCAACTTTTGTTCTTCCAGAAGTACCCAAGGCTTTCTCAAGATTTCCTCACCACTCATGCCATGAGCAAAGAATAAAGGCACTGGACTTGACCATGTCTCAGGAGGCCCAAGCACTACTTGTACCACGCAATCCGAGCGTTCCGAGCGGTATCCGAGGGTCCTGGGCGTGTTCCGAGGGCCCTACGACGATCCGACGAACAAAAACGAACGATCCGGCGCGATCCGACGAAAAACGCAAAAAAAACGACCTCCTGGGGGGCCTGAGGGGTTCCTGGGGGGTCCTGAGGGGTCTGTGAGGGTGAGAGGGAGGTAGGGGGTAAGTTTTCAGAGTTGATAGACAAGGTTTGAGAGAAGTTCAAGGGGATGATTTTCAAGGTTTGAGAGGTGAGTTTTCAGGGTTGATTTTCTAGGTTTGAGGGATGGTGTTCTGGGTGTTTTGTTCCTGGTCTCCGTATGAGTTGATCTTGCAATATGTTATGGGTGTTCTGAGGAGAGCAGGTGATGGATCTTCAGAGTTCTGAGTCTTGATGGTACAGCAGTTCCCAGAAAGCTTGCGCTCTCGAGCTCCTGGGATCTGATTTTTTTTTATTTTCTTTCCACCTTTTTTTGCGCCTCGTGACCTGTACACATGACTGTACAGGTTGCGAATCTGTTACCGAGGTCTTGATTGGGGCCCGGCGACCTGGCAGTTGCCCGGTGGGGGCCGGGCATGCACCGTTGTGATGGCGGCTTCCTGCTCAAAAAATTGAGAGGATTCCGATGGTCCAACTCCCGACTTCTCAACTCAAAAAATGAGGGAGTTGGGCCTCAATGCCTGGAAGACTGTCGCTGTACACGGCCAGATACAGGACGAAGAGGCACAAAAAAGTGAGGCGCAAAAAAAGAAAAATTTTGGGATCCCAGGAGCTCGCGACCGCAAGCTTTATGGGAACTGCTGTAGATTGCAAGATGAGGAATGTACAAGGTTCGGATCTCGAACGAACTCCAAGTTCAAAGTTCGTGACATGTACGTAACAGGCTCTCTACATATGTAACGTCCCCAGTTCCAGTCCTCCACAGCTCATAACACTCAATGAGTCAATGGCAGTGCTTCCTAAATCTTCATCTGGAGCTGGTCAACCCAAAAGAATAGTCCAAATATTTTTTGGATATTGCAATATGTATATCTACATTGCTTGCTTGTTCATAGTCATACTGTTCTTTTTTTTGCTCTTCTGAACTGATCATCCCTATGTTGAGGATATGAAGTGAAAACTTGAAACACCTGTGGAGCCTCTTTAACACAGTCTATCAGACTTCACATCTCACAAACTTCAGCTGAATCTAACTACATATTTGACACCTGATCTGAAACACCAATTGCTCTGTCTACCACTCAGTCCCTTGATCCCTCAACTCATCACCAATTTCAAACTCTCCTAGGTGAATCTACTGCCACACTATTCAGTCAATTTATCCTGTCTTGGGCATTGGGGCAATGCAACATGAGGAAAATACACCAAAACCAGTTGGAGAACAAGATCCTGAAAAATTTGCTATGCCATCTGGATATCCATTTTTGTTGGCAGATTTCCTACAAACCTTAAACAGCACATACTCCCAGTACATAGTCCTTTTTGGATCAGTTACACCAAGGGGTAGTGGTCAATTGTAAACCAAATCAGTATGTATTGGATCAAATTGTTCCAATATACCTTCCCCCAAAGATTCAGGACCAATTGTACAAGAAGAGTATTAAATTTTGTGGTATTGAGGTTAGGAACCAGCAATAACCTGAAAGATTAGATTTTAACTCTTACAAATTATGGACCCCTGTTTTTTTAAAAATTTACCCCAAATGTAAAGAAAGCCTTCTTTAGTCTCAGAGAATCAAAAATAAAAATCATCCCCATACCTGAGAATCCAACACTCAAAAAACTAGACTCAAAGTGACAGGTGTCTTTGGAATTATATAGCTTGAGTGCTTTCAATGTTTTGCTGGTCTTAAAAAGCTTTGAATTAAGATATGCCCATCTAATCATGCTTTCACTTCATGATAAACTTACTTCCCCTCAAATAGATTATTTTGAAGATATTATCAACAGATTTCTTATAAATAAAATGCAAAACTCAAGAGATGGTCCCTGATTGCCTATTTCATCATGTTGTCACTTCATAATAAAATTTATTCCCCTCAAATACAATATTCTAGAGAAATTCTCCATAGATTTCTTCTAAATAAAATCCAAAACTCAAGAGATGATCAATGATGACTGATATTTCTTAATCTGTTTACTTCTTAATGTGTTGCTTGAAAAAAAAAACTGGTTTTGCTGTGATCTGCTGCTTTGAAAGACTGTTTAATCTACACTTCTTTTCACTGTTTTCTGTACAGGGGATTTGTTTCATTATTTTTATTATGGATCACATGTGTTGATATAAAGAACCTGCAGAGTATTTTTGAAAGTGTTCTCAGGGGGGTTGATAAGCGCACGCCAACCCCCATGGTGCATGCCAATCTGCACGCCAGGCGCAGATTGGCGTGCATCCCCACACGCCAAAGAATTTTGGGCGTGCGGGCCTTGCACGCCAATCTGCTGCAGGGGAGATTGGCGTGCAGTAGGTGTGCAGGGCCTGCACCGCCCAACTTTAGGTCCTAACCGCATATTTAATGCGTTTAGGAACTGGGGCTGATCCAATGTGACCAAGCCATCGAATCTTAATAAAAATGCCCGGTCTTCGTAATATACCATCGTCATATATGAGGTGAGCATAGGC